GTACAAGCCGTCGGGGGTGACAAAAGCGGTCTTCGGTCGAGCGTCCTCAGCCATAGGTACTTGCCAGTAACCTGAGCGCAAATCGAGGGATGAAAAGAATTCTGCTCCTTGCAGGCTGTCAATCGCGTCATCTACCCGCGGTAGTGGATACACGTCCTTACGAGTGATCTTGTTGAGGCGTCGGTAGTCCACACAGAACCGTCCTTCTTCGTGACGAGAACGACAGGAGATGCCCAGGGGCTGCTAGAGGGGCGAATAACATCGCGGCGAAGCATGTCGTCGACTTGCTCGTTGATTACACGGCGTTCTGTGGGAGATACGTGATATGGACGTTGCCGCAGCGGTGGCTGTGCGCCTGTGTCGATGCGATGCGTAACGGTGGATGTGCGGCCGAGAGAAGGTTGAGCAACATCGAAAGAAGAGCGGAATTCTTCCAACAGGCCCAAAAGCTGGGAACGCTGGCCCTGCGTAAGGTCGTCGGGTATGCAGGGACCGAATATATCATCGGATGATGAAGCAGATGTCGAAACAGCACCAAGCGTACAGGAACTTGAACAGTGCATGTCATCGGGTTGATCCATAACTTGCGCGTCTTCGATGGGTTCCACGCAGCCGAGACATTCCCCTCCCACCAACGTAACGCTGTACGGAGATGAGTTCACAACAAAAATAGTGGTGCTGCCGTCAGTGAGTTGCACGGTCGCGAAAGGAAGCAGCAAGCTTTTTCTTATGAAAACACGATGAGATGGCGAGAGGAGTGCAGCGGTGTCAGAAAGGCTTGCGAGCGACACCGCAACGGACAAGTTTGCAGGCACTTGAGTGTCGTGTCTGACGAGTAACTTGCTTGCAGCGGATGAACTGTCGGCTGGCGTCAAAGAAGAGAATGGCGTGAGTTCTATTTCTGCTGGTGCGCAATGAATGACGGCGTTGTGGCGGGAGAGAAAATCCCATCCTAGGATGACGTCGTGAGAGCATGAAGAAATTATGATGAATTCAACCGCATACATCACGTCCTGAATCATAAGGCGGGCTGTGCACATCGCCGTAGGGTGAATACTTTGGGCGCTGGCTGTACGGAGGGAGAGCCCACAAAGCGGCGTGGTCACTTTGCGCAGTAATCGGCTAAGTTTTTCGTCCATCACGGATACGGCGGCTCCAGTATCTACAAGGGCAGATGCACGAACGCCATCCACAAGCACGTCTATCACGTTCGACGGGCTTTCCCGAGGGCTTCCGCAGTTCGACAGCGTCGCAGCCCTTGCCTCGTGGACTGCGACGACTAGTTTTCCTGGTCGCCCTCGAGTGAACGTGGCCGAATTGGCGACAGTGAGTGACGTCGTGGAGATGGTGAACGGCGGGTAGACGGAACGGGGCGGGACGACGGTGACATAGGCGGCGGTTGGTCATAAGAGCGGCTTGACTGGCTGGGAAAGTTGGAGGCGACCTGCGGTTGCTGCACACGATTGCAATAGCGTGCTACATGACCGACGCAACCACAAGCAAAGCAAATGGGGCGATTGTCAGCAGTGCGCCATTGGTTCGCGGGTCGCATCCATGTCGCAGAACACGATTTGCGAGCCAGCTGCTGATATGAGTGCATGGTAGGCGGCACTCGGGGCACGTGGGTGACGCCGGTGTATGTAGGCGAGAAAGTTTCTCCAAAGGCCTGGGGCCTCGCGACGGTTTCGGTGTAATTTAGGGGAACAGTTGCAGAAATCGGTGGGGGCGTCCTGGCAACAACTTGAGCGTAGCTGAGTGGCACAAATGCAGGAGGCGGCTGGTGGTATTCAGGGACGACCTCCGCGATTTCCTGCTGAATGGCTCGGCGGAACGGAGGTAGAAGTGTACTTGATGGCTGTTGAGCATGTTGTGGGGAAGCAAAAGCCAGTAGAGAGACCTGGCGGGCAACTTCCTCACGCACGAACGACTTGATTTCGGCGAGCAAGGTTGCGTGGTCAGGAACTGCTGACAAGGCCGAGAGATCAGCATCACGTGGTGACGGTCGACGGGTCATCAAGCGCTGCCGCCGAAGCTCGTCGTAACTTTGGCATAACATGATGACTTCTGCCACAGTGCGGGGGTTCTTTGCCAGGAGCATGGTGAAGGCATCGTCGGCGATGCCTTTTAGAACATGCGTGATTTCGTCAGCCTCTGACATGTTCAGGTCGACTTTCTTGCAGAAGTCAAGGATGTCCTCGATATAACTTGTGAAGGACTCGCTGGTCTGCTGGGCTCGTTCTCGTAAACGCTGTTCAGCTTGCAGCTTACGGACGGCCGGGCGGCCGAACACGTCGACGACAGTGGTTTTAAAAGCGGACCATGTCGGGAAATCAGATGCGTGGTTGTTGTACCACATGCCGGCCACACCCGCGAGATAGAAAAACAGGTTGCAGAGTTTACCTGCCTCGTCCCAATGGTTGGGGATGCTCACGCGTTCGTACATGGCCAGCCAGTCCTCGACGTCGGTGCCATCCGCGCCGGTGAAGACAGGAGGGTCGCAGATGCGGGGGACACCGGGACATGGCGTCGGCGTAGGAGGAAGCGTTTGCTGGGCGGCGTCTTGGTGCATGGTTGGAGGCACGGTACGGGATCGAAGCTCCAAGGGCATCGAATGCGGACCGAAGGTGTTTGAAGGGCACAGCACTCTCAGCACTCTCCACCAAATTGTTAAGCGGTTTATTGGCGGCCACTCAGCGATGATTCACGACAGCGACAGTCAATGCGGGGATCGACTCTCTGCGCGAGCTGCTCTTCTTCTTATGAAAAGGGCGACCCACTAGAAGGCGCTGAAGAGGACGACCCACTGTTCAAAGGCTTTACCACAAGATAGATAGATAAATAGATAGATAAATAAATAATTAGATAAATAAATAGATAGATAAATAGATAGATAGATAAATAGATAGATAAATAAATAAATAGATAAATAAATAGATAGATAAATAGATAGATAAATAAATAAATAGATAAATAAATAGATAGATAGATAAATAGATAAATAAATAAATAGATAAATAAATAGATTGATAGACAGATAAATAGATAGATAGATAAATAAATAGATAGATAGATAAATAAATAGATAGATAGAAAAAAAATAGATAGATAGATAAATAAATAGATAGATAGATAAATAAATAGATAGATAGAAAAATAGATAGATAGATAAATAAATAGATAGATAGAAAAATAGATAGATAGATAGAAAAATAGATAGATAGATAAATAAATAGAAAAATAAATAAATAGATAGATAGATAAATAGATAAATAAATCAATAAATGAATAGATAGATAGATAGATAGATAGATAGATAAATAGATAAATAAATCAATAAATAAATCAATAAATAAATCAATAAATAAATAGATAAATAGATAAATAGATAGATAATAGATAGATAAATAGATAGATAGATATATAGATAGATAGATAAATAGATAGATAGATAGATAGATAAATAGATAGATAGATAAATAGATAAATAGATAAATAGATAGATAGATAAATAGATAGATAGATAAATAGATAAATAGATAAATAGATAAATAGATAGATAGATAGATAGATAGATAGATAGATAGATAGATAGATAGATAGATAGATAGATAGATAGATAGATAGATAGATAGATAGATAGATAGATAGATAGATAGATAGATAGATAGATAGATAGATAGATAGATAGATAGATAGATAGATAGATAGATAGATAGATAGATAGATAGATAGATAGATAGATATAGATAGATAGATAGATAGATAGATAGATAGATAGATAGATAGATAGATAGATAGATAGATAGATAGATAGATAGATAGATAGATAGATAGATAGATAGATAGATAGATAGATAGATAGATAGATAGATAGATAGATAGATAGATAGATAGATAGATAGATAGATAGATAGATAGATAGATACGCTCAAAGTCGCCGAAGTTCGCTAAGAAACGCTTCAGCCTGCAGCCTTCTTCCTTGCAAAAGTAGTGCGATTTACCTCATCTCTGTGGCACATACCACGTTCATGGTCTTACAGACTGCTCACAGTAGCACTTACCCGTTTGTAGAGATGAGTCATAGGACTAGCGAAATTTCTGTGGCACACACCCCTTTATGATGACGACGAAAACTTTTATTCTGGTCCAGAGGGTAGTTTTTTTTTTTTTTTTAAGAGAGACCGTGCAGTGGTTCATACCCGATAGGCTGCACAAATTGTGGCTCCATGGTTGCAGCAGTTACGCTGTTAAAATTTATGTCCACTTAAAAAATTCACCCAATTGGTGTACCGAAGGCGAATCGCGTTCGTGATAATTACACTTTATAATTGAAAAGCACGTTAGGCAAGCTCGGCCTTAACACACGCTTTGCTAGCGGGAATATTTCTAGATGATTGAAGTGGTGGTGGTAGTGGTGGTGGTAGTGGTGTTGCGACAGCCGGGGTTAGCTTGGCCTAAATAGTCCGGAAATCGTTCCGCCTAAGCGTCTCCTGAATGGTAGCGGTCCGTCACCAAAAGTAGCACAGCTCAGCGTCTGGCAGAGAAGGATGATCGACTCCAAAAGCCCGGTTTAATCAACATCTCCAGATTATAAATAAAGTTATTTTCATCGATCCAGCCCTTCACAGCACAATCTTATGAACCAAAATAAATACAAAGAAACCATGTTTACTGGCTTTTGCACGAGATTAACAGGCTTTCTTAGTATAAAGCCCCTAATGCACAATAATTTCCCAGCGTATTACTCATTGCGTTTCAAACCGAAGCTTTATCTGGACGTGACCTCTGTAACATGAAAGTAACATTTGCAGACATCGATGTTGGCTGTAAACTTCTTAACCGCTATAGGCACATGTCCAGTACGATGTGAATGCACGTTAAGGAACCGCAAGCAGTCATAATTGACGAAGCCCTCCACTAAGGCTTACCTCGCCGTCATATCGTGGTTTTGTCACGTAAAACACAGCGATTATCAATTACCGCTTTCCTATAGCTTCTTATGGGGACGTTGACTCCGTGTGAATTTATTACTGTTTTAATTGCACAGAGCAAGCGAAGAATGTCATCCTAAGCATTCGCCGAGTCCGAACAGATGAGTCGGTTGAACTTTTGCTCCAGTTCCCATTTCTCGACGTCGGGTAGAAAACTGGCGGATATGGCCGAGCGATTCTGTTAGTAGACAAGCAGAATGCAAACACACATGGAGCGTCATCAGATCTGCGAGGCACGAAACGAAACGAAATGCAATCAAGAAAAAGAAAATTACTGCGAAGTACGTGGTATATCGGCCATCGGTAAGTCCTGTACAACTCTGTAACAGCTGCACTTTCGGAAGAACTAACCCCAATCGCCACGGCGGAGACGTGGCGGAATAGGTCGGCTGGCGTGCTCGCGTTTGGGGGCAGCGCCAGAATTTTTTTTTAAGGAGGGTGGGGAGGGAGGTGTGACGAAGTGACAGGAGGCAGCGGGGGGGGGGGGGGCATAGACGCACGCCTCAGTTACCTCTTAGGTAACTAAGAGAGGGGGGGGCGCGAAGTCAGCCCCAGACTTAGGCATTCTATGAAGGGGGTGCCAAGTCAGCCCCATGCATTGACATAATAGGGAGCGAGGGCGGTCGAATATTCGCCCTCCTTAAGGAGGACAAAATCCTATGCACGCCTTTTGGGGGAGGGGGGATGACGTTTTCTTCTGGCACCGCCACTGCTCGTTTAACTTAACATTGCTGAAAATGCTACGAAATGGAGTAAAAATCGTTATAACTGCTTGTTCGTTGAGCAAGAGGAAAAAAAAAGTATTTTCAAAACCCAAGTTCGGGTCTGAGCTCTGACCCTCCCCAATGATGTTTAGCATGTGGTTAAAAAGATTTGCCCCCGAGGAGGTTTTTTTCGCCCAGATTCGCAACCCAGGCCTTCTATGTAAGTATGTTACAGCGGAGTGATTGGCGTTGGGGTGTATTGGCACTAGGGCCGTGATAGTATGTGTACGATAGAGTCAGAATAGAAGCACACACTTGGCAGTGAGGTGAATTCGAGCAAGAGGAGCCCTGGTCTAAACAGCACAGAGGCGACAGCGCGTGATGTGTCTGGAACGAGGGTGTGGAATTAGAATCTGCGACCAGCAGCGTGACAGCATTCCGATGGAGGTCGAGTGCGATATCGTTTTTTTTTTCGCTCACTACATGAACTTATAAGAGCATTTTAAGTTACAGCAAATCGTCGAATAAAAACTTAGAGACCACCATGCGCTAGGTACCGGTAATCTTGTACGAAATGTGTTGCTTCGGAATGTTAAATGCTGTCACAGAACGAGCGCTCAAAAAGAGCGCGCCGCCAACTCCTCGCGATGAAACGCCGGAGTGACGCCGCGAGGTCAACAAAAAAAAGGAAAACAAACACCCAGACTCCCCGGGCGCGACTCCCTCCCTCGGAAGCGTGGCTTCGCCGACGAACCTCCTCACCCCACATTGGCGGCCGAGCAAGCACTCGAAATTTCTAGAAGGAAAGAGGCGTGGTCACGCCGGGTTGAGTCATCCATCGCGGACGGCCTTCGAGCTGTCTCACCCCCTACCCAGCCTTCGCTGCGCATCGCGCCGATGAAATCATGAGAACTTTCTGGAATCTCGCGCGGAGGGTATTTAACCGAGCAGCCGAGATGAGTGATCAGGAGAAGACGGAAGTTAGCGCCAGAGCGCGTAGGGATTCCGCCGTGTAGTCGGCGAAGGTTTTGTCCGTAGGGACAAAGCAGGAAAAGACGGAAGTTAGCGCCAGAGCGCGTAGGGATTCCGCCGTGTAGTCGGCGAAGGTTTTGTCCGTGGAGACAAAGCAGGAGAAGAAGATGATTTCCACCTGAGGGGTGACGACTCGAGCTACAGGCAAGAGTGTGTGTTTACCGCTATCGAGCGAAGACACGTGGCAACAGCTGCGTGTGTGAAGCCGACGTGTTTCCGGCGAAGAAGTTTGAAGCTTGGAGAGTGGCCTATTGAAGACGTGAGGTTTTCTGGAAGAGAAACTTCGGGGGCCGCGGAATGACAACAACGCTGGACTTTGAGTGAGTGATTCTCGGAAGAGTATCATCTAGACTTTGGTTCCAAGAACTTTGGACTGAATAGGTTTTCTATCTCTTTAGTCTTTAAGTGTTTTGGTTGTTCAATGCATGCGACTGCATTGTAGTGCGTATTGTTGTCTGTGTCCGTTGTTTCGAGTGTGGCTGATTGTACTGTGTAGTACGTTGTTTGGTAGGTGACATATTGTATTCAACTATTGTGGAGTGTGCATACTTGTGTATTGTTTTTGATCTGCCATTATTGAGAATATAATTCTGTTTTGTTGATCAACTCTCGGCTCCGACTCGTTCTTTGGGCCACAGCCGGCGTCCGCTGGCGCGCCAAAAAGGACCACTTCTAAATTGTCCACGCTTTCGTGGTGCGGTTCGGGGGGCCGATACTTCGGCCATTGGAATTAGCCCGGCGATCGCCTCCCTAATTAACTGGACCTGTGTGACAAATGCATTACCTCGATCGATGAGAGCAACGAACAGTCATTCACTCGTTCGTAGCATGAAGCTACAAAAGACGCTTTAGTGCGTTCGCTCTGCTTGAATATGAAGCATCGAAGAGGATATTTAACACGTCGTTAAGTGATCGCAATACTATGTCGCCTGCCTATACAATCAATCGTATTCATGTATGTTGAAGTTGCATCGATCCGTTCTAGCATTCTGCTATGCTTATAAATGCCTGTGACATGTCTTTGTTTGACCATATTTTGTTCAATAAATGTTCATTACATTCAATGAAAATTGCAACACTGGCAACGCTTTCCTTTCAAGCAGCTTCCACCTCTGTGTTTCTAACCACGCAAAAGTCACTTGCCGCACTCAGCAGACAGATTCAGAAACAGATAAACATGCGTGAAAAAAGTGAATTATCTTTCAGCGAACAGGGAGCGCGGAGAAACACAAACAAGAGGCCAAGAAGAGGCGCCCAGCGCGAGCACTGGTGCTGTGTGCCTGTTGCGTGTGTTCCCCTGCCCCTAGTTCGCTGAAGGATTATAAATTACCAACTGGTCCAGCTTTGTATCCTGTTGAAAGAGTGAAAGCTTTCAGTTACAACGGTCGCAAGATATAACACACAAGGCCCACTCACGCATCGCAGAATGTCGTCGGGCGTGAGTCCGAGCTTCAGCGCCAGCTGGTACTCGTCGTTCAGTGTTGTGTGCGTGATCGCCGGGTTGTCGGTGTTCAGCGAGAAACTTGCGCCGTCACGCTTTAGCCTGAACGGGACAAAGAAGAAATCACGGCAGGTTCACGCGCTCCTTCAACCGTATATACGCCTCGATAATTGCGCGCATAATTCATGCACAGTCGCCGTCATAATATATGCTTGATCCGACACACGCCTCCAACGCCTCTTTGCTTTTTCTGCGCACAAACGATGCTGAAATCCTGATAAGTATCTTGGCAAACGCGAAACGCAACCGTTGGCGTAGCCAGCACTAAATGTGCAACAAATCATCATGCAATGGCGTTACCTGGTGACGCCAACGTGACGTCACAGATTACCGAAACTGAGTGACTTCACTGTGACCATGTGACTTTCCGGTTGCAGTGACCTGAATGTATCGGCTCATTTAGTGCTTGCTTAAGGCAAGCACTCTTGAGGGCAAGCCAACTACGAAGGGTCTTCCGTGTTTGCATTATATCTGCACAAAAAGGTTGCGTAACAATCGCCAGCGTTGTGCATGCCGGAAGAGCCACTGAGGCCTGACCACACGTATCCGCCGCAGTGCGTCGGCGCGTTGCTTTCTGACGCGGAGCCACACCCTCCCCAAATGGAGAGAGAGGGCGCGCAACTTCGCGTAGCCATGCTCTCTCTCTCTCCTCAAAGAGAGAGGGTGCGGCGCCGCGTCAAAAGGTAACGAGTTGGCGGGCTGTTGCGGCTACGTCCGGTCAGGCCCTTAGGGCCGTTCCACGCGCTTCCCGCACAGCCACAACGCACGTGCCGGGACCACTACCGCACGCAAGCGGGAGCAAATAAGCGAATTGGCGACGCTCTTTCACCCTCTGCAGCGTCGCCAATCGGCTGTCCCCCGCTTGCGTGCGGTAAAGGTCCCGGCACGTGCGTTGCGGCTGTGCGGGAAGCGCGTAGAACGGCCCTTAGGGACGTTCCACGCGCTATTCGCACAGCCGCAACGCACGTGCCGGAACCCCTGCAGCACGCAAGCGGGGGACAAATAAGCCGACGCTCTTTCACCCTCCGCTTGGGTGCGCCAGGTGAGCCGGCACGTGCGTTGCGGCTGTGCGACTAGCGCATTGCTCGGCAGCATCGCGCAAACATAACGAAAGCCTGTCAAGCACGATTTGTTATTTCCCAACCAGATGACTTGGAAGTGAAAGCCACATTTTTTTGTCTCCTGCTCAGTCGACTGCGTTCATCCCCCTGCCGCCGAAAGCTTTCTGTGAAAATATCACTCTCTCTTCTAACACATAGCATGTTTTTACATTGACTCCGAGACCAAGAGGCATTGCAAGCTTCCTTCCCCTGGCTCACTTGTCTCCCAGGGCGGTTCCCCTATTTCCGAGTGATGATGTCATGTGACGACGCCATAGCATGATTTCACTATGACGGTTGGGTGATGTTATAAATTTAAATGTGTCGTAATGATAACGTCATGCGGTGACATCACTACACGATGATGTTTTTTGCACCGCTCGTGTTAATGCCGACGGCAACGACGGTCATTTGTCGTGTTTGATAAAGCATCTGTGGCTTTCGCCTTTACGATGTAGAGTGTCAGTTTTTATGAAAGGGAACACGGCGACGAGTAGCCTGCGTGCTCCAGCGGCTGCTGGCAGCGCGTTCAATTGGGAGCGATAGTAACCACACTCTCTTTTCGCGTCATCTCGTGGCGAGAAAAACAACCATTCGTTGCTGATACATAACGGCAAAACTGCAACCCCACCTTCAAAGCGATTACCGGCTCTCGTGTAATCACCTTGAAGGAGAACGAGGTCGCAATCTTGCCGCTGGTTCCAGATCAGTAACCAATGGTTGTTTTCTCACCACGAGATGACGCGAAAAGAGACGGTGGTTGCTATCGCTCCCACTTGAACGCGCTGCCAGCAGCCGCCGAAGCGCGCAGGCCACGCGCTCCCGAGTTCCCTTTCATGAAAATTGACACTGTACAGCAGAACAAATGTTTTGGCTTATAACTATGAAACCGATTTGCCCTCGGTGCGCACTCGGGAACCAAAAGTGGTGCAGAACATGCAACCAACATCTAGAACCGCTCTAGAAATCAAGCGTTTATTTCGTACTGGAACTTTTCGCACACATAACACAAAAACGCAAACTACACATTCACAAGTGCCAGCGCAGACTATAAGCTGACCTTTTTTTATAATAAAACAATAGATAGTCGTAACTGCCCCTCATGATCACTGCGCATGAGGTCCTGTAACTAGGGTACATTGTGTTTTCTTATTTAATACAGCTAAGTTGACTGTCTGTCCTTTTGAACCAGTAATTTACGTTTCGCTGTTGTGTGCGCAAAACGTTTCTGGATGCGGCCAAAGCAACTGGCCTGCCTTTCCGAAGTAATGTGTTTTTTTTTTCAAATGCATGTATGAACATTTAGGCGCGGGTGCTTCTGGGACAGGCACGATAGCGCGTGTTACTCGGTGTTATACCTCAGTATGGGGTGTTCTGCTGCGTTGCGATCCACGCTGCCAGTAAGGTAGCTGCTGGTCGGGCAGCACTCGAAGTGGACCCCGGCGGCCAACGCTTGCCGATAGGCGTCGCCTCCTTCAGCGACCGCCCGGTAACCGTGACCGATGCGTTCTGCGTGAAGTTCCCGAACGGCCCGCAGCAGAGTGGCCGGAGGCCCCGCCTCAGCCGCGTGAACGGTCCGGTGTACGCCGTAAGAAACAGCACGCTGCGTCGAGTCAAAAGAGTTTCGATGAGCCAGCCAGACGAATCGAAATTATAGGGAGTCATTGTATAAGAATCGCTCTGAGGGCGCAAAGTGACTTTCAGTGCAGTCAGCTACCCCTGAATTTTCGCGAATTATATTTAGATAAAAGTGGTCGATGACGTGTTCAGTACAAGGGGTGAACGTTCAAGAGTATATTTAGAAAAAATGGGTAACGGTTTAGAGTACTGGGTACTCTACTATGGGAGAGCTGAAAGCCGTCCCGTGACCCAATGAAAGTCTGGATAAGAGATACCGATTGTATCACACGCTGTACAAGAGTATAAACACAACCTCTGCACACGTAGGTTTGCTCGGAGCCACTTCGAATCCCTCATCAGCATCAAGCTTCATGGCGCAACCATCGCAATGTCACTGACCACAACGACAGTTCATTTCTTTTTACGTCTAGTGAACCGCATTGACCAACAATTTAATGTTCGAAGTGACTGATACACAGTACGCAGCTCAAATATTTTAACAAAACGATAACGCGAACATATATTGACAAGCTATACACGACTTTTGCACGCTCGCGGTTACACTGCTGTGCAGACGTGGCGATGTGTTTCAGAGGCAGCGTTTTAGTCTCTCGTCATGACACTGCAGAAACGAAACTCCACTGGCGTTAGCATCCATCGTTGTGTGAATGATGATGAGTGGGGCGAAGAGTTTGACTGCCCACCTGTCCACCCACCAACCCGTCCATCCATCCGTCTGTCGGTCTGTCTGTCTGTCTGTCTGTCTGTCTGTCTGTCTGTCTGTCTGTCTGTCTGTCTGTCTGTCTGTCTGTCTGTCCGCCCACCTACCCGTCCATCCATCCGTCTGTCTGTCTGTCTGTCTGTCCGCCCACCTACCCGTCCATCCATCCGTCTGTCTATGTCTGTCCGCACACCTACCCGTCCGTCCATCCGTCTGTCTGTTCGCCAACCTGCCCGCCGTCCGTCCGTCTGTCAATCCGCCAACCTGCCCACCCGTCCGTCTCTTCGTCCGCCCGTCCGTCTGTCTGTCCGACAACCTGCCCGCGCGTCCGTCCGTCTGTCCGACAACCTGCCCGCGCGTCCGTCCGTCTGTCCGACAACCTGCCCGCGCGTCCGTCCGTCTGTCCGACAACCTGCCCGCGCGTCCGTCCGTCTGTCCGACAACCTGCCCGCCGTCCGTCCGGCTGTCCGACAACCTGCCCGCGCGTCCGTCCGTCTGTCCGACAACCTGCCCGCCGTCCGTCCGGCTGTCCGACAACCTGCCCGCGCGTCCGTCCGTCTGTCCGACAACTTGCCCGCGCGTCCGTCCGTCTGTCCGACAACCTGCCCGCGCGTCCGTCCGTCTGTCCGACAACCTGCCCGCCGTCCGTCCGTCTGTCCGACAACCTGCCCGCGCGTCCGTCCGTCTGTCCGACAACCTGCCCGCCGTCCGTCCGGCTGTCCGACAACCTGCCCGCCGTCCGTCCGGCTGTCCGACAACCTGCCCGCGCGTCCGTCCGTCTGTCCGACAACTTGCCCGCGCGTCCGTCCGTCCGTCCTTCCGCCGTCCGTCCGTCCGACAACCTGCCCGCGCGTCCGTCCGTCCGTCCGACAACCTGCCCGCGCGTCCGTCCGTCCGACAACCTGCCCGCGCGTCCGTCCGTCCGTCTGTCTGTCTGTCTGTCTGTCTGTCTGTAACTTTTGTCATCACAATACCTTGCATGTGGTGTGATGGCAAAAAAATGTGCGGTCAAGAACGCGCTTGTTGTTCGTAATCATCGTTATCGTGAGTGGCAGATACGGCACAATAGAGGGCAAGCGTTATTCATAAGCTGCTTCGCATCTAAAGCTAGACTGTTACAAGCGAACGGCGCTGGCATAGCCTTCCGAGAACCGCGTGGGTTTCTATACGTGTCAACGGACTACGTGACTGCTTTCTTTTTTATGCGCAACTTCCTTTGGAAGTCCGACTTCATCAGACATACATGTGTCTGAACCATGCATGGATGCGAAACTTTATTGGAAGTTCTGAGGTGCACGACTGAAAGCGCAGGGGGCCGTTCCCACGCTGGGACTGTCAGGCCAAGCCCGACCGGCGCGCCGTGGACCCTCTGGACAGCCCACAGTTGATCCCCGACATCAGGGCTCTTGAGAGCAGATAGCAACTTTTTTTATTGGAATGGTCCGCGCCCCGCGACGAGGGGCAACGCCAGAGCATGTGTTCTAGGCTATCTAATTCGTTTCAGTGCCTGCAAGAGCTGTTAGGACAAATGTCGGGATACATTTTGTGCAATAAAGCCAGGCTGGGATATGAACCCGTCTTGGAGTAGCCTGAGAGTCAAAGCCTGCACTCGATTTAACCTATTGTTTGGAAGGGGAAAGTCTCTCCTGCCAAGATAAAAGTGCTGTATAATTTCATTAAAAGTGGTCAGCTCATCTCTGTTCTCCACAACTTCAGGCGGGCGGGGGAGTTCTCCGTGGTCACGGAAAGCATGACCTCGCGCCTTGGAGTGGGTCAGCTCGTTCAGGTTTGTGGGGCCTCCCCTGACGGATCTCATGTGAGCGGGGAACCACGTGAGAGTGCGGGTGGTGACGCTTTTGGCCCTTCCGTATCTAATAGGCTTCTTTACAACACTGAAGGCACGGATGGATGCCCTGGAGTCGCTGAATATATGTCCATGCTTGTCATTAGTTACCATCACAAATAAAACGACGAGTTTTGCTTATTCTTTGAAGCAGCTCGATCTTTAAAACTAGTCCCTCTTCAAATTTCGTTTATACCTGAGGTAACAAATTTATTCCTCATTCTTCTATAAGATGTTCCTTGACCGGTGGCTCCCCATAGCAGCCTAGCGCCGGGACCAACAATTGGTCCAATAAAGTTTACTCTACTCAACTATATTAACCACTTATTTTATGGACAATACAACGTAGTAAGTAGGAGCTGAAAATCAAGGGACAAGAAAGAATGGAAGCAAGTCTTTTTTCTGTGTGTGCATGGTTCGAAACTGTATGCGAGAAAGATATCACCGTCTCTGCAACCAGAATTTTTTTTCCGCGATACAGAATTTCTTCTGCCTCTTGGTAACCATGTGTTGAACAGTGAACGCACCTGGAAAGTGTCGATGATCCGGGGATCCGTGAACTCTTCACCGTACTCCCTAGCGTCCGGGCCTACTTGCATCGACTGTGCATCTTCGAGACCGACCACGCCGCAGACGTCGATGCCGACCACGCCTCGGTCGCGGTACTCCCGGCAGAGCTCCAGAACCTCTGGAGCCCAGTCTGCGGAGAGACAGAACGTAATAATTATAATTATTATTATATGTGGTGTTTAACGTCACAAAACCAGCATGTGATTATGAGAGACGCCGTAGTGGAGAGCTACAAAAATTTCGATCATCTGGTGTTCTTTACCGTGCATGGCTATCGCACAGTGGACGGGCCCCTGCCCTTTCGCCTACATCGAAATGCGACCGCCGCGGCCACAATCGAACCCATGACCTTCGGGTTAGCAGCCGAGCACGCTATCCAGTGATTTACTGAGGCCGACTAGAGACAGAACACTTTTCCACATATACCTAATATGTGCAGCTCAAGAGGAAGAAAGAAAAAAATAAAGGCAGATCAACAGCTCGGGTTGGCACAGACATTAACTTGCACTGACTTCCCAGTGCCTTTAGAAGTCAGCGCCAGCCTACGTCGTTTCTGCGCCTTTCCATTTCCCTTCGTTCATTAGCGTTGCATATACCCAGTATATATTCATACGTGTACCAGCTGTCCTAACAGCGGATTCCCCGAGAACAATTTCGTCGGCGTGAATTGAGTGAGTGACGATAAACGGAACAGGATGAGTACAAACAGTCGTAACGATAAATTTGAAGGTCAGAATGCGTCATAATTCGTCAAACAGGGGTCAAGTAAAACTCATCCCCTAACGAAGGGAGGACCCGACCCCCGTCGCCATCCCTGGCAGCGTGTCATGGCAACGACTCTTAAACATCACCCCCTACCTATTTCAGCGTGACGGCCTCGTTATTTTTCTTAGACATGGCCAAGCTTCGCACAGTTTCAAGTTCTACCATCCAGTATACCTTAATTAGAGCCGAAGCATCTCAGGACAGCAAAATGTCCATCTGTCCACAAACAGCTGCCCGACGTCCACAGCCGATGTAGAAATCGAAACATCTGTCAACAACCAAAAGGTAATCAAAAAGCTGTTAATCAGAACAAACAAAATAAAGGACCACAACACCGTAACAACACCGACGTTTAACCATCAATAAAAGCATGTAAAACAACAGGTTAACATGAAGAAAATAAAAGGCAGTTCACCAGAACAAAACAGAAGGCCATGATTCATGATCTGATGCAGACTATTTCATCACATCATTAATATTCATGTCGTAGATATGCATATATTTGTGCGGAAGGACTATTCTCTTTTTATGGCACTGAATGCCACAATAGCGGCCGACTGTAGCAGATGACTACACCTTGTCTTTTCTCAACCGTTTTCGCTTTTGTAAGCGAACGCATATAGAATCATTCATAGCCATGCCACTGGGCGCTTCTCACCTGCGCGTTGCCGCTTGAAGGCAGCATTGGCACAAAACGGCAACGTTTTCTTCCCTCCGCCGAAAAAATGTTCCGCATCAGCGAAATCTTAGTGGATGGTGGAGCTGGCCACTGGAACAGGCAAGCAAACGGCCTGACGAACGCAGATCGAATTGTTCTTTCTTTACTTATTTGTATATTCGCATTTCTCCGGTCCCTTTTCCTTATGCTTTTCCATTCACCCTCACTTCTTCGTCTCACCACTTGCTATGTTACATGTTGCATGGCTACGTCGCGTAACCACTCAACCTCATCCTTTCGCTCCTACTCGGCCTTACATCCCCCTTCTCCTCACTTCACTCCTCAACCTCTCTACACTAGGCTTAATCAGCACCCCCTTAAAGTACTGGATATAGTCAGGAGACCGGACACTTTTCGCCTAATTTTCTGGACATAGCCAGCGTTTAACCAGGAACCAATTAAGAGTGGAATGTATACAAGGCTATGACATGCTTTACCATCTCCCCTCATCCTACCCTTCCTCCTCAACCTTACATCCCTTTCCCGCCTCACTTATGGCCTATACCAAAGTGTCAGAAGTATTACGTGGACCAACAGCGTGGTGTGCACCATGTGTGGCTTGCAGCCTCTTCGCACATACCCAGTTGCTGTCGCACATTACCGCGGAGCTTTTGTATACCGGCGGCGTTATTCCGAGCTCAGCTGATAAAATGTCTAGCTAGGCCACTACTGTGAAGCGAGCACATCCAGTAACCAAAGCAACGCACTCTATCAGTGAGCCCCACCACAATGGTCTAGTGATTATAGTGCTCAACTACTGACCAGAAGGTCGCGGGATAGAATCCCGTCCACGGCGGCACTATTTTAGATGGATATGAAAATATTTGAGACCCGTGTGCGTATATTTAGGCCCACTTTGCGTAACTCCAGGTAATCTAAATTTCCGGAGCCCACCACTGCGGCGTTTCTCATAATCATACGGTGTTTTTGGGACGTTAAACTTCAGATATTATTATTAGTATTTCCGTGAAATCTGTCGCGGGCACTGACCGGGCCTGCCACGAGTGCAAGACAGGACGATCCTGAACTTCGCGCCCGTCGCCAGCTCCGCCTTGCGCAGTCCTCGCAGTGCTGCGTCCAGCACGTCCCTGACGCTGACCATGCTTTCCGGCATCCCTTGCCACCGTTGTGCGACGCTCGAGGAGGCCAGCGGTTGAGGGCACAGCAACATCTCGCTGTACAGCACGCCCTCCGCTGCCTGGTCGATGGCCTCCTCGTACGCCACTCGCTCCATGGCGTCCCGGTCACCGCTGCGTCGCAGAAACGAGTTTCTGGTGTAAGGGCAGATCTCAAAGGGACACTTAAGTCAAACAAAAATTTACGTCAGAGTGAAAGCTCAATGTATGACAACATATAAAACAACAATATTATCAACAACGGTGCCCTAGTTAACGAGAAATCAAGGTAAATGCACTAAAACACATGCACCGCGTTAAGGCTTTCTCAAAATGATCCTGGTGACATCGGACGGACTGCCTGCAATAAATCACTAGTAATCGATCTAGCTGCACTAAATAAAGAACCTTCTTTGCACCAAGAGACGAATAAAATTCTGCCTGTTCAATTCTGTTTGATTTATGGAAAAAAGAACCGCCGGACATTACTATGGGGAATGGCGCGAGTGGTTCAAAAATTCAATTTTCACGTAGTTGCATTGAACAGGTGATGCCATCCAGCGGAGCGCAGTTCAACCAAAAAACGTCTGCAATCTCTAAGACAATGGCGGGAAGTTGATGAGTGGCCATTGTTGCTGCTGTGGCTCCCGCTGCTTTCGGTCTGCTGCTACTAGCGCAGAAAAACCGGGCAACGATGTGCACGGAACACAGTAACGTGAGTCGGTCCAGTTGGTCCGCTTCTTAAGGCGGGTAATTTGAAGTGCGCTTACCCGATGCGAATCACTAAAACGTCACTTTATTTCAAAATAAGCCATTCCTTGGCACAAAAGTAACACTACAAGGTTTCTGGACCACTATTTCAACAATCAACGTCGACTTACTAGTTGCCTTTAGTGTTCCTTTAACGCCTGCCCACACGTACGCATTGCAGCGCGTCAGCACGTGTCGCTCTGACTCGGCGCCACGTCATTTTAGTTGGGAAAGAGAGAGGGCGCGCAGCTTCGTGTAGCGGCGCCAGAAAGACAAACGTTGACGCGCTGATATGCGTACGTGTGGTGAGGCCTTTACAACACGGATGGACGCCCTAGTGATGAAGCACACGAAGCTAATAAATCCATGCAGAGCTCACTCAGATGGTTGTGTTCCTACATGCGAGCACACCACTTCATTGGTATTTATTGACGGCAATGTTAACGTAACCGAGGATTCACATTGGCTGACATTCACATTTGGCTGACGTATGTGAACATTGTCCAATTTTTCGTCAATCTTGCTAATGTTTGTCCACATTAACCAAGTTTAGCTAACGATGGCCGACAACCATCAGTAATATATACAGTAACAAATGTGAACAATGGCCTATATTTGCCAGTGTAGTCAACGTTGCTTACAGTACCAGACGCCAGCCAACGTTAGCTGCTTATAGTCAACGCTGTACTGCAATAGAAATAGTCAATGTTGTAGTGAACGTGTATATATATATATATATATATATATATATATATATATATATATATATATATATATATATATATATATATATATATATATACCTGCAGTTATATTGTCTAACAACGAGACTTACACTACAACCTTGGTAAAGACGAAGATTTCCTTCAGGTAATTGGCGAGCGTGGTGCCTTCTTTCAGTCTCGTCTTTTCTTGGATGTCTTCCACGCTCTTGTATCCTAAGTCCAAGCCTTTTTGCCTGTTAGAACATGTTATGAACGAGGTTATGTGCTTTCAGAGTAAAACACCAAAGCATGGGTGCTATACGAGATGTTTTTGTTGTCTTCGTTTTGTTTTGCGCAGAGCAGAGTGATCATCACTAATTGCCAAGTTACCTGTTCTGATGCAAAATGCTTTAACTCCAAGGCCATCCTTTGTGAGTACCATAGATAACCATGCTGTAAAAGACGACTGCCTTTTCTCGCCCAACGCCTTTTTACTGAGGAGCTGTTCTAAGCAAAGCCTGTTCCGTAAGCACGCCACCTTATTGGCAAACAGGTCACGTGACCAAAGGGGGTGCGAATAGATAAATACTTGAAACGATATGATGATGATCATGATCATGATGATGAGCAATGGTGTTGACGGTGACGATGGTTGAACCCACACTAAGCTGTCTCAGTCTACGCTCGCACATGCAGCTTCACCATCCGACTGTTCGCATGGCGTGGAAGTGGTTATTTTTTCACGCGCTCTATTACGAGTTATGCTCGGTTTATTATTTCTATCTCCAAATAAATAAAAATTCATTGTCGAAACTCTGACACACCATGCAGTGTTTTTCCGCGCCTGTACAAATCTCGCTCCTATGGCCATTATTTCATATCCAGCCAGTTGCACTAGGCAGCTTTTTGTAGTTATCGTTGTTGAGAGCTTATCCAGGAAAGCAGGGAACAGTGAGTGATCATACGGAGCGAGAAGGTCAAGCTCACCTTTGTTTAGGAAAGCATCTGTCCTTACTTCTCAATGCCAATAAACGTTTATCATCTCTCTTTCTTTATCTCATTCGTATCGCGCATCTGTTGCTCCCTCGTTCCTGCAAAGCCCTCGAGCCTCAGTGGTATTAACGGATAAGCTTTCTTTTAAGATGGAATTTCGTCTAGCTGAGTAGGTTGTATGTAACCACCAGTGAAAAGACATACTTTCGTTCACTTTTCTGTCTTCACAATTACATTACAATTACTTCTGTTGACATCCCCTGCGCTTTCCCTGGCACTGTCTCTTAGTTCTCATTATTATTGGGTAAGAAAGAAAACCAGCCTTTAAATTTGTACTGGTCTGCACAGTCTAAGCCGTGAAATGAACGGGAGATTTAATGTCTATTTCTCGGGTGCAAATTATACCCACGAGCGACCTTGTTACAGTTTTTTTACTATCAGACTTGTGCAGCTCATTGTGTAAAGGGCCCAAGACTAAGCAATACGTACAAGAATGCATACGAGTACTATAACAGTTAAGAGTCATACAACTTTTCTCTATCATAATACAAACAGAGAAGGAAACGAGTCACTGGTCTGGTGATCTGAGGTTATTATAATTCCGCTTCTTACTACGTCGGCGCTTGCAGGTGACTCAGAGTAATAGTCGTGAGGAGTGTTTTTCTCTAGGGATTGAGGCTGTGGGGGAGGGCGAAATTCCACAATAGCCTATAAATCCCCGTTGTTCTCGTGCCACTAAGTGAAACATTGCCCCCCCCCCCCCTTCACCCGCGCTCGCCTATACTCGTAGTATTAGATAGAGCGCTTACTGTACAACTTCTGAGGGCAAATACCTATCATGAGTGCCCCACGCACTCGGCTTGCGTGTAGCGCTCGAAAGTACACGTATTGAAATTAGGACAAGTCTCTTTATGAACCCGCCGTAAGCTCGCTTCCATTTCCACGAACATGCATTTCGTTGAACTGTTATACTTAACTGTGCCAGCTCCCAAATGGTCTCATGACGCATGCCGGTGGTCAGGTGGCTGTGTAGCTGGATCTGAAAGGAGAACAATGCAAGCTAGATCACGACAAAATAATGTTAATCGTACGGAGACGCTGCATGCTACCGTCTCTCACACAGTCCGCTAACTCGACACGTCCAAGAAACTCACTATGAGACCCAGTCTTATATGATCCTTCGGTGCAAGGAATGTAAGATTTCAACTGTTATAAGCTGTAAGTAAAGTACAACCGAGTTAGTGCATGAATGATTGAAGATCTATTGATGTGCTAACCTCAAAATCATTTCATTACTTTTCAAGAAGTAATTGTAATTTATTGCCCTTCGATTCAACCAGCTGTGATTCATCCCTTTTTATAATTATAAAGCTAGTTTTCCTGCCATGCAGTTAGCTTATATAGCGGCAGCTACTCGCTTCTGAAAACGGCGTGTTTAATGGCGGAATCCGTTGGGAGAGCAGAAGCACTCGAAAGCACGCAAGAAGTGCTCTCTTCAGAGCCGGCGTGTTTCAGTGGTCGAGCAGAGCTAAGAGCAGAGCGAGATTGCTTTTGCTGCACCGAGAGCAGCCAGGAGTAGTTTGCTCTCGCCTGAAAAGCGGAGTAGGCCAACACACTCTGAAAATTCTAGGTGCTGTTGAGTAGGCGGTGTCTAGGTGCTGTTCAATAGGCGCAGTCAAGGAGAGTCACGTGACCTTTGAACGTCACTGTTTCCAAGTTTTTCTCAAGCCGACGAAGGTGGTGGAAATGGCAACAAGCATGTGTAGTTCGACACCGCTGTTTCGTACGGGTGGCAACGGTGACAGCTGGACGTCTGCCGAATGCGTCGTTGCACAGACATACTGTGAATCGGGATAATATAAAACAGGTGACTCACCAATTTCACGAGTATTTTGCTGCGGCCTCTCAGAGAATGTTGGCGTTTGGAATACATATAGTGGTTCTTGTAAAAAGAAAAAAGACACCCAATTTCTGTTTGCCATTCGCGATACGACGCGGTGGGCTTAGAATGTTTGGATCACATGGTCACCCCACTCGTCTTCTTCTCACCTGCTCTCCGGTAGCACTCCACATTCGAGTGGCAGTTCGGGTGACCCTGCTCTGAGTGCTCTGCCTCCCACTTCTCCCTGTACTACACCTCTACTCCTGTTCTCTCAATCAAATTCGTAATAAGCGTAGTTTGCTTGCCCTATGACGCGGAAAACGTTGACGCTGCTCCGTGGATATAAACACGCATTGCAGACCAGCCACGCACGAACGAAATGATCTCCTCTTCACTTGAAGGGCAGCAGGTGCAGCCACTGGTTGCGAAATAGAAAAAACAAGCATCGACGTGCCTTTGGTTTCTGCCTTTTCGAGGATAAAGATAGGGGATAAATCAGTCACTGGAATGCAACATCGGTAGTCGTCGGTCGCTATTGCCGTCAAACGCCATTACAGTCCTTACCTTGTTTTGAGGGAAAGGGCAGAACAGGTCCGACTAATTAAACATATTGGGGCAGACATGGTGCATGCCCCAATGTGTAGCCTAATACCTCGGGCTTCGAGCCGGAACGCCAGGTTGATCTAACGGCAGCTTAGTACACGGGCAGCGATCCTCACGCATACCTTTTTGAACTGCTACAATTATCACTGTTCAAAATAACCTATAACAGAGAGAGCACTTCAAAACCGCCTATGTACGGATGTCCTTGAACGACGAAATTAGGTGCGTACCTTGTACTTTAGAACAGCCATTTTCCGAAGCTTCGTGATCAACAGGTCTACTCTGCACTGCAGCTGCAGTTAGACAGCGCCGGTACCAAGCACACGCATTAAATTCAAGCGTAAAACAATTCTAAAAATAAAAGTTATTGCACCTTGGGCCGCCACATGTCCCCTCTTCGTTATCGTGTATACCCGTTTCTGCAGCTGGCGTGTGTATACCAACTGTGTCCCACATTTACAACAGCACGTTTGTGTTTTTTCCTAGCTCTCGTAAAAAAATAATAAGCATTTTAAAGGCAGGGTTCGAAATCTCGTCACAGCACCGGTGCAGCTGCTGAGGTGCGCACGCACGCACGTAAACAGGAAGAGAAGAGACAACTCAGCGGCTGTCTTAATATTATTTCCCGACGATTTGACCGGTGGACTGGCCTTCGTCAGGGCTTATGAACATTGCATACATACATGCATACATACATACATACATACATACATACATACATACTACATACATACATACATACATACATACATACATACATACATACATACATACATACATACATACATACATACATACATACATACATACATACATACGTACGTACGTACGTACGTACGTACGTACGTACATACATACATACATACATACATACATACATACATACATACATACATACATACATACATACATACATACATACATACATACATACATACATACATACATACATACATACATACATACATACATACATACATACATACATACATATCATCATCATCAGCCTGACTACACCGACTGCAGGACAAAGGCCTCTCCATGGTCCACCAAGCAACCCGTTCTTGTGCTTTCCGTTGACTTCATGCTCTCCCATAAGAGAATACCAAGTACTCTAAATCGTTAACCACTTTTTCTAAGAACACACTGAAGGTAGGCTAGCGCGGTCTCGTAGTAGAGGAAGATGCTTTAAGTCATCTCCATTCACTGTGTAGACAACGCACAACATTCGTACACACTATTAGGGACAGCTGTCAGTAACTCTCCAGTAGTCGTCTGCGTATTATTACGCTAGCTGCACTGGGCTATATTAGGCTGAAACCATATCTTTTTTACTGGTCGGCACCTCTGTCAGTCCCGATATCTTGTAGAAAACTACCGAAGCCACTTCCCCTCAAATCGAAAGCTGTGCGATTTGTGAGGCAATGATTTTATATGTCTCTCCCGCGTTTCTGCTTGACAGCGTGAAAGTCTATAAGCATTGCGAATACACAACTGTCTTTTATCGATTGATTCATATGATTCGTTCATTATTCATTGATAAATCCATTGATCGCTGTATTCATTCAATGATCTATAAACTGATTCATGCATTCATTCTTCAGTGCTCCTCCTGATTGAACTTGCTCCTTGTTTGGTGAAGAATTCATAGCAGGCATTGAAATGGCACCGTTCCAATGATTTTAACGATCTTGCAGTCGTTCGAACAAACGTTGAAATAAATATAACGTCTTTTTTTGCATTACGTGTTATGATATTCGTTATAGGTAATGCTGCTTGACTAGAGAGCAGAATTCAATCATAAAACCAGGTCGACCAAGCAGGCTACGTAGGATGACTTAGGCTAAGTGGGCCTTTTATATTCGGTATCATCGGAAGCTTTGTTTGGTCATCGATCGACGGTTTCAAGATTGCAAGTGCTGTGCCCCCAAAAACGGTCACCTCATATACCAGCTCGCAACGTCGAAACTGAAAGGACGTTTTCACTGTTTTTCAAGGCTAAGGAAAGAGTCTTGTCAGTTTCTCAGATAAAAAGAACGTGCGTAATGTCCAAGGCAATATTTTGAGGCTTTTATGTAGCTCAAGAGAACAATTATTAGAATACATTTTCCCAAATGATGGAAGAAAACTGTAGCAAATCAGCGGGCTATTTTCTAACGCTCTTTTTGCCCACCTATGCTATTCCGGGTCATTGGTAGACGAAACCCAAAGTCATCAAGGGTCTGTAACTGGGCGCTCGCTGGCCAAATGTACGGTGACCCTCAAATTGTTACTAATTTATATTACCTCTGGTGCAAAATAAATACACCTTGTGTTGTCTCTCTTTTCGTGTGAATATGCGCTATTGCCTGTCTTGCCTTACATATAAATGCGAAGCATTTCTTAGCGAACATTGGTATCTATATCGAACGTATCTATCTATCTATCTATCTATCTATCTATCTATCTATCTATCTACGACTTTTAGCTCTGCTGGCCGTTTCGATAATGGTATCGATACCAAACTTGGTATGGCATAACATGACTGTATGAAGAACATATTTGACTAGTCATAACATGAAAATAATTACACGTATGTCACGAATGTCATGATTTACATTTCATGGTCCTGTAGCTCTTGCGGTGGTATCCTTCACATGGCATGTTTCAAAACTGATATGGTATGGCTTGATTGCATGGCGAACACAAGCAACAGACCCTAAGATAAAAATTATGACATGCGTGTCATGGTACCAACATGACTACATACTACGCTCATGATGCGCTCGCGGTCGTTTCACTAGCGTCACATATACCAAATTCGGTATTACAGTACGTGAATGGATGAGGAAGGCACGTGACTGGTGCAAACATGGTAATAATGAGATGCGATTTATGTAACAACATGACTACCTGCTACGCTCATGATTAGCTCGTGGCTGTTTCGCTAGCTTCACATGTACCAAACTCGGTATTACGCGACGCGAATGGACGACACAGGTAAATGACGCATCCAAACATGATAATCACGACATGCGTGTCATGTAACAACATGACTACATGCCACAATGATAATGCGCTCGCGGCCGTTTCGCTAGCTTCACACATGCCAAATTAGGTATTACGTGACGCCAATTTCGATGATGAATGTATGTGACTGATGCAAACATGATAATTATGAGGTGCATTTCATGTGAGAACATGAGTACATGCCACAGTCAAGGCGCCAGTACATTTCGACGATGTGGTGGTTTTGAAACGTTAAACCCCACATATAATAATAATAATAATAATAATAATAATAATAATAATAATAATAATATTAATAATAATAATAATAATAATAATAATAATAATAATAATAATAATAATAATAATAATAATAATAATAGCGACCAGGCTATCACGTCCCAAAACCACGATACGATTATGAGAAACGCCGCTGTGGGGGGCTCCGAAAATTTCGACCACCTTCTGTCACCTGCACCAAAATGTCACCGCCGCGGTCAAAATCGAGCCCGCGACTTCGGGGCCCACAGCGAGCGCCATAGCCATGGCGTCCACCATGGCGGACGGCTCTACCAGTCGTGCGCTTGCACTGGGACATCGTCGGGAACGCTGTCCAATCAACCACCAAAACTCGTGCCAACGTGATTTATAGTACTCGTGATTTATAGTAATCGGTACTCTACTAAGGGAGAGCTGAAAGCCGTCCCTTGAGCCTCACACCACATCTATTGTATTGTTATACCATTGTATCATGATATCGCATTGAGTTCTTGTGTACATATATGCCAACATTGTCATGTATATTAGAGCAAATGTCTTCACTGTAACGTAGTGATGTTAGTCGTGAAATATAGATGTGCCGAAGAGTATATGCCCTGTTACTGGAATGGTACGAAGCCTTTGTGTTCTGTACATGCTGTAAATAAATTTTTTCTAAACAAAAAAAGAGAAAAAACTAAAAAGTGTGGTGGTCCGTGACGATTTAGAGTTTTTCATACCCTACTATGGAAGAGCATTTCAGGTATCTCTGCTCTAGGGGTGCACAAATATGGCAAGTAAAATATCAAACTGCGACTATTAAATATCCACGGACGCTGAATTTTTTGCAAGTAAACTGAAGTATACTTTCATATTCGAATCATCCTTGTGATGGAATGTTAATTTTTAAAATAACTAAATTGGAGTATTTACCGAATCGTTTGTGCCCGTATATATGAAGTTCGTAAATCCTTTTTGCAACCCTAATAAAATAAAAAATGAGCCGTACGTGCATTGACGTGATGAAACTGTCGGTCTAGTTGGTACTTGCTTATTCAAATACCAAAATACACAAAATGTGCTTTCCTGGAGTGTCCTTAATTTTTCTTCATTGATGGTACGCGTCCTTTTGTATTTCAGTGTGCACTGACACGCGGACTTAAAAATCATACTCGGCGGAAAAAAAACTATCCTCAGGGTCAGCGGTGTCACTGAAAAGCACACCGAAAAAAAAATGGTAGAACTTCAAATTGCACGTACGATTATTGATAAACTCGTGAGGCCAGCAAAACTTTGGTGAGACAGGCAAGGCATTTCAATATCTTTATTGTACTTGACTGCATCGCCGTCTTTCTATCTGTGTTTAGTAAGCGCGAAGATGACCCAAATTTCACGGTGCTCTTTCCTATGTGCGCTCCTCCTGCTCCTGGGTAGGCATATCGTTGGTCCATTGATGCAAACGGCACGTTTACAAGTTAGTCGATTACACCAGCTTATTTCTGAGCAGAGTTGTACGTGCATGCGTCGTCTCGGGAGACGGTCGCTTAGGCCGCAAGACATGTGGGCTGCTAGATCGAGCACTTGTTTCCAGTAGTTTCACGTTACTATTTCATACGTGATACGCATGTAGCGTTTCATAGAGGACCATGCACGTGTGGAATAGAGTGGCGGTTTTCGTGAAATGGTGAATTTTTAATGCCAAGTAACAAAGAAATTTCGAAACTGCCCATGAAGCCCCATTCAATATTGACGTTCACATCATAGCAGTTCATGCCGCGCACGTTTATCGTTGAATAATATGCAACGCTATATTTGCGACAATCTTCAGAAAACGCACCCTAATTAATCACGTGTTTTGTTCGTTATAGCGCTGCTAACGATAAAGTTATTGCTCATAACGATACACTTAGCAAGATCTCTCATACTTCGTGATTGCACAAACCGGCGGCCTATAAGACGTTTCGCGAGCAAGCGACTCGCGCAGTCTCATTTTGGGCGGACTGCATTTCTGCCACTTTTAGCCTCTTATTGCCTGTCTATT